CATTCAAAGAGTCAATGTTGCAATCTCTGATCTAAATTTTGTAACATTTTAAAGCTCTTCTACAATACAAACATAATTGCCTCCAACAGACTAGCATTTATTAAGCGTTTAATATCTATTAGCATTTCTACATGCTCTTATTTATAGTGAAATTATCCAATTTAATGGTAGGGAGATTGGGAGGAGAAGACATAATCTGCCAAAAGAGGTCTATAACTACTTCAAGCTATCATAGGAGCAAATAAATATGGAATAATTACAATCAAATATAACCAGTAGGCTAATATTTAAAAATTTGATCTTCTGAGCAAGAGAATATAAATCCTCTTGCACAATTCATTACAAGCAGAGGAATATGTATTCATATAAAAATATGTATTTACAAATATATATATATATATATTAGTGTAAGAGTTACTATTACTGATTATCTGTAACTATATCCTTTTCTTCTTTCCCTGTGCTAATTTCATTTCTACAGCTGAAAGTAATTGTGAAACTTGGAGAAAATAATACATGTTTTTAATCTACCTTTCATAGATTTGGTTGGTTTGGAATTGACCCAGAAGAAGTCAGAAAACCAGTTCTGAATTACATCGGAGCAGCACTTTCAGTACTTAGGTTTTTGAAAACATTATCATTCTCTTAATGGTTACATACTTTGATTTTAAAATATCTATAAATAATCATTCAAAATCAGGTGAATCAAAGTGTTTCTATTTTTTGCTTGTGACCTAAGCTAAAATCTAAGCATGTTTTACTAGAAAGGATATTCCACTAGATCCCTCTATATGTTCTAGGAAAACAAATATTGGATTGTTTCAAAATTACTAATGTTCAGAAAATATGTAAATATACTTTTGTTTAGATAGTAAAGAGAAAAACACCAGTTAGCATATACTGCCTAACTATATGGATGACTCTTGATGTTTCTCTCTTTGCAGCTCCATCATATTTCTTTTCATAAAAAGTGAAGTTCAAAGCTCTTCACCATCTTCAGAAAGCACTCCATTATTAAGAGAACAGGTACGTTTCTTTTTGTTATTGTTATAGTTTTCAAGGTGGTGGCTAAAAACTATCAACTACTTTTTTCCCTAAAAAAAAAGATTGTTTCAGCAGCAGGATTAGCAATAAAGGTAAGTAGACTTCAACCCTCAGGTTTCCTCAATCAGCAAAGATTTAAAATGATGTAAAAGTACTGTCTGTTCTGTCCCCCCATCTTCGCTCGTTAACAGACGACAGGCAGACAGGCTTAAAAGGAAATAACTTTATCAGCCTCGGCTCATGCTGGCTGCGAGCCCAAAATAAAACATAAAGTCTCAGGCAAGAAGATAACAGAATGCAAAACAAAGATCTCTTACGGCAGAACCAGGTGTTCAGAAAGAAAGCA